AGAGAGAGAGAGAAAGAGAAAGAGGAAGAGAAAGCGAAAGCGAAGCGAAAGAGAAAGAACAAGAGAAAGAAAAAGAGAAAGAAAAAGAGAAAGAGGAAGAGAGAGGAATAGAGAGAGAGAGAGAGAGAGCGATAGAGACAGAGACAAATAGGGAGAGAGGGAGAGTGAGAGAGAGAGAGAGAGGTAGGCTTGGTGAGTTGAAGCCAATACTGGTAAATCTTGGCCTTGCCGGAGTTGCCTCGGGCACCTAGACCTGACTAACATCTGCAAGAGTGGGCAAAGTCTCTCACGTACTGTATGATGGTTCTTTGAATTAGATTACTGAATACTCGTCTTCGGTCGTACTGTCGACCCCGAACCACGAACCCTCCTCGCATCTTCAGCATTCTAGTGAGCACCTGTAGATTTAGATTCTGACCCTTTCAGAAAGGGGGCGTGTTGAGAGCACAGCCTACAGCACCACGTGCTGGCTTTGGCAGGTCCTTGCGTTGGATCCTGTCCTGCTTCCGCCTCTTTTCAGTCCCAGGTCCGCCTCACACGATGTAAAAAGGAGTGCTACAGCAGGAAGCGAAAAGCCTCTTCTACCACCCCGACTCAAGACGGAAGACGGTTGTGCAGAACTGGCAGGGTTTGCCCGGCTGGCCTTTGCCAAGCGCCGAAGACCTCTTCTGGCCCTCTTCCTGCGCCTTGATGATGTCCTGCAGAACTTGTTTCCAAGAGCTTGGGCTTGAACCCTTCAAGCAATTATATTAGTAGCCCTTTGCAATATCTTTTTACAGGTGCCCCATTTAATATCCCTTTATAACCCAAAGCATGGCCTAGGGTCCTCCAGAGGTCCCAGCAGCAAATTGAAGGCAATGCGGTCCAGAACCTTAGCGAAGCGACAAGACAGGTGGCGGCGTTACCTCCAAGCCTGGCACAACCCTTCTCCAATCACAGCAATATTTTTCACTGCTTTGGCAGATCAGCCCTGCCTGATTGTCTATCTGGAGCATCTAAAAGACCCGAACCCCAAGCATTGAGCCCCTCAGCAAAGCACTTGTCTTCTGTTGCCCAGCGGCCAAGACCTTCGCCTCATTCGACACCACCGTGATGGTGGCCGCACGGGGCCTGGCAGGCCGGTTGGGGCTGGATGTCAAGCTTTAGGTTCTGTAGCGATGGGTCTATAGGGTTTCGGCTTGCTCTTGGAGTTTTCCAAGAGCAGTCTGCGCATGCGGCAAAGAAACTGAAGAGCTCATGCAGCTCATGCTTTTCTCCTACCGCCCCGAGACGAGGGTGGAGGCTCTGACAAGGCGCACAGATCCGACTCTGACCCCTATACCCCGGGGATGTGTGCATAAGTCAGGTTCCATGACAAACTTGACTTCGTGCCTGCACCACTTACGAATACACAACCCTACTGGCGCGCCCCCCCCCCCCCCCGCACCCAAACCAAAGTGCAGCGGGGCGCACAATTGCAAGATTCTTGAACGCTTAACCTCTGATGGCTTTATATAGACATGACACGGATTTGGAGAGAACCAGCTGCAATCTCTAGCCCGCAGCCAGATTTCCAGAAAAAAAGGCTTCTCTGCAATGCACGGATAGCGACGCTAACTCGAAACACTAAATTCTAACGCATGTCAAGGAGCCTCAGACATTCGCATTTGTGCACTCTGAGACAAAGGGAAACAAAAGAGAAGGAGAGAGGGAGAGGGACAGGGAGAGAGAGGGAGAGAGAGCGAGAACTTGGAGTGTGAGTGCAGCTTGTCTTTCTTTTCCAACTCCTCAACATATATGGCCCTTAATAGTTTGAACACGATTTTTGGGGGTACATTATGTTATATGTATAACAAATGGCCCCAAAACCGTATTCCACGACTCAACAAGCTACAGTATGGTTATGTCCACTAGCAAGCAGGCCGGCCACGCTCGTTGCTCATCAAAGCCCTCTCGCCAAAGAAATGGGCTGCTTTCGTCGTCCTGAAGACTTCTGGTCAACAGTCTGCAAATGATGATGGCTGTGGCTGCTTCTCACTGTGTTCCCATGATCAAGAAGCCAGCTAGCGAATAGAAAGCGTCAGTCAAACCTGCGCCGAGTTGTCGGCATGTTGGCACATGTCAAGAGTCAAGAAGCCGCCGCGGTCGATTTCTGGGATGGAAAAGCTTCCGCAACCACGGAACAACTCCGCAGCATCTCGACAGCACCCCGAGATGCCGCGATGTCACTTCGATCTCGAATGTCCCTGAACAAGCCCTCAAGTGTTGGGGAACCTACGCAGCATCAAGCCCAATCAATCCAAGCTGCGCGGAAGCCTTCAGCTTGTTCTGCTTTTGTGCATCTTTCGTCACCTGGACCTGAGGCGCTGCCAGCTCTCCCGGCTCAGTGTTCGTCAAGCTTGAGACTGATGCCTTCAGAACAGATTGTACAATATAATATGGTACAGTATGCTGTGTCATATGATATAACGTAATATATGTTTATCATATAATATTCTTGTATTATGATACAACAGAATAGAATAGACTAGAATACAATAGAATAGATTTGACTGCAATATATGGTATAAGACCATATGATATAATAGAACAGATCAGAATAGAATGCATTATATTCAAATTTGAGATGACAAACTATACTAAACTATGGTAAAATACAGTGCAATGTAATACAGTGTAATATAATATGATATTTAAAATAAGGTCTAAAAAAAGTTATTGTAGTATAGTGTGTGGAATGATGTTCTCTTATGCTATATTATGTTATCTTATGTTCTGTTACATTCTGTCGAGGATAGTTAGGTCCCCTGTTGTCAACCACGGAGTCCCGGAGCTGTGGGTCATTTTTACAAGGGCTGGCGGGTGCGACGTTCTCGGACACACGGCTAGAGCACCAGTATGGGTCTGAGAGTGTAGCAGAATCCATAGGAGGCCATCATAATTCGACCATCTTGGAACTACTATTTGCTGGGGCTGGGTCAAGCAACAGCTTCGGCACAAGATCCCGGACTGCTGTCTTGAGTTGCAGGGATGATGACGAAAGCATGCTGCTTTTGCTTGCTTTGGTATCCGGCTTGGTCGATTCGACACAGCCTTTTTTCGCCTGACGGGACGGGCCTGTTGACTCTAGCAGAAGTCCTGCGCCCAGTCTCTTCGCTTTAGCTGATCATATACGGAAACGGGACGAGGAAGCGGTGCCTCCTGTGCCGCCGTGGGCTCGAAAACTCGCGCAGAAGAGGGGTACGGCTTTGCACTTTCGAGCCGTGGAGCCGACAGCTCCTTGCCAGCTTGAATTCCCAACGGGCGCCGAAGGTGCCGGCGCTGCAGGGTATTGGGGGCCTGCGGTGTGGCCACGGCAGGTCGGCCACGACCACGATTTTCCAGCACTTCCTCCACGGTGGGCTTTGGCAGGTCCGTCGGCTGTCGTGGCGGTATCACCAATTGCCGATCCATGTCATGCGAACAATCCTCGCAGACTTCCATGACCTTGCGTATGCTGAAAGAAGCTCTCATGCGAACGCGAGGAAAGGACTTCTGAAATTGTCGAAGAGCTCCCATGCACGAAAGACAAGGGATCTCACTGACGTCGAAGCGCAATGTAGCCTCACTGGCAGCACCGGCAGGGCTCCTCAAGATCTGGTCTGCGGCTTTGTTCAACACTTGAAACTCTGCGTCGTTGGAACGTGGATGCTCGACGACGCACGCCACAAACCTGATGGGTTCGTCCATAGCTGTTCCGCTTGCCACCACCCGGGCGTCTGTTTGCTCACCAGGAGTCCTGGAAAGTGTCCACGCACAGGTCGTTTTGTGCTTCATGGTCGCATCCGTCGGATCCGCTTCGTGGGCCGCCTGGATACCTTTCAGCAACCAGTCTTCGCGCAACCGCCGCAGCGGCAGGCACATCTCGACATCCTCCTCCAGCATGTCGAACTGTCGCAACATCTCGCATGTCAGTCTCCGACCAAGTTGAATGGTCTTGAAGCCCGTAACTTTCTCCTGGTATCGCTCGGATTCCGCTGGGCTGCAGTTCATCAACGGGATGTTGTCGAAGTCCTGGAAGAACTCCAAAACCTCATTATATGGCTGACGCCCGATTGCATCGCATTGATCGAAGATCTCGCGCGGAACGTGGCAGCCCCACTCGCTGCAAACGGCATCCGAGAGCAGCACAGCATCGCCAGGCTCTTCAAAGACCTCGTCTCCTCGTGTCAATGTCTCGTGCGCGATGCCCCGAGCGACTCCAGGCGGTACCTGTAAGCCAAAACGCACGAAGGCCCAGGCAATGTTACACAGACCTGTGATGGTGAACTCTGGAATCATCACCTCTGCTTTATCCATCAGCATGCGGAATATGTTGTCGTCCCGATGAGATAAGGTGACCATGGCCCAGGACACATTGGCCACGTCCCGGGAGGCAAACTGGGTTATCTTCAGACGCACCGCTCGTCGCAGCTTCAGCAATGCATCTTCGTGGGACCATGCGAGCACAGCAAAGCTGTACAGCAACGTGGAGATGTCTGGCGGTGTCAGATGGTCCATGGGGCGACGTATGATCTCTTCGCTGATACATGTTAAAGCTTTGATGTCTCGGTACTCGATGGCGGAGAGGCCCCATATCACATTGGACAATCCCTGTGGGGAGAACCATTCAATCTGGCGCATCACCTCCCAGTTGATTGCTCGCATGTGCTCGTTCCGCTTGTGCTTCAGTGTACCATATGCCCACAAAGTGTTCGAGAGGTCCTGTGGAACACAATCTCTCGATCGTTTTGTCATTTCTCCACCACTCTCCTCCATCCAATCCTCACATAGAATGGCCAGTGTAGCCAGGCCCCAGGTGAAGTTTGAGAGCTCCTGGGTGCCAAACTCAGCTGCCCGAGTCGCTGCGAAGCTGGCAATGGTCCGCATTGCAGCCTCATCCTTGTACAGAACAGTCGCGCAGGCCCAGATCAAGTTGGACATGTTCTGCGGCTGGAATCTCCAAAGCTGGACCAACGACTCCGCTAGAATCGCACGGAAAAGTGCATCACAGGGCTTCTGCAGGCGCGCAAAGGCCCAGCAGGTGTTAGACAAATCTTGAGGGCTGTAGTCCCGGATGTTTGCTGCTACGTGCTCTGGAACGAGATCCAAAAGCTCGTCGTGCGGATATCCGACAGTGCCTAGAGCCCACACCGAGTTGGAGACGTTCTGCGGCAAGAACATGGCAAGCCTTGCCGCTGCGTACCTGCAGAGTAGGGAAAGTATCCGCTCTTGCCGGAATAACAATACAGCGAAGGCCCAAAGTGCATTGGCGATTTGCTGTGCTCGGCATTTTGCGGCGAAGTGCTCTGTGAGCTCGAGCAAGCACAAGAAGCCCGCATGGCGATGAACCACGTCCAACGGGGTTCGGCCGGCATCCTCCTCGCGATAGAGCTTTGCGGCGCGGTGCAGGGACGTGACCGCATTGATTTCGTCCATGACCTCGTGGCGCTGAAGTGCGTGCTGCAGCACGGATTGCCACGTGGCTTGGCCCATGATCTCCTCGTTGACCGGGACAGTCAGCAGCCCCATGGTGGGAAGGATAGCCCATGGCACGGCGGGTCTGGTCTGATTGGAACAATGTGCAATGCTGACACGACTACCTTTCGGATCCTCCCTTCATTTTCAAAGTTGATTGTGTGCCGGAACCCTTTAACCACAAAGGATCTGCACTACTGAATCACTATTGACTGTAGTCTAGCTATGTAGCGGCATCTCCGATCGCCTTGCCCCTCCAAGCCGTACTTCAGACTGCCAGGTGGTGTGCAGAATAAATGGCCTTGTATAAGGTCAACCGCAGACAGCAGCCCGCCACATTATGTAAACCAGAACTGCAACCAAAACCACCCTGTCGTCGGAAGGCTATGATGGTGGTGCCGTTGGCTTGTCTTTCGTGCCAATATGCCGCCTGATGCCTCGCAGCATTGGAGGACGCCGAATACAGAAGAAGGTGGTGCTGGCTGCTGGCACAATCTTCATTCTAGCGTGTATCAATGACCGCACTGGATGAACTTGGATGAATGAGCCTTAAAGCAGTTGCTATCGGCTTCGATGGCACTACCGTTCTGTGCAAACTGACAATGTGCAGAATCATAATTGGCTATGGCCTTGGCATGCAGGTCGTGGTGAGGGCTTCATGCCTGGAGGATCTTGGACCTGTATGACCGAACGAGCTTGCTTGACGAAGACACTTCCGAAGGAGTTTGCATGCCGAGGGACTTCGCCATCGTAAAGAATGTAGAATGTGCCTTTGCGGGGTTTAGGGTTCATTCTTGGAGTCGGTTTATTTAAGAAGCACGTCCCCTTATAGACATTGTCTAGCTTTAATGAACCCCAAAACCGTGTTCTCGCTGTTCAGGCCCCTATGGTCCCTGGCGTTTCGTAAGTTTGTAAGGTCAGGGAAGGACTGCTGAGCTCTCAGGACCTCCGTGCCCCTTCCCTGAAGCAGTGCCTCGCGCGACTGGAAAACACAGCGACGGCGAATTGATGAGTCATAGAAATAAGTGTCATGTTCATAGAGACACGATCAAGGAACATGCATGTCAGCACTGTCTCATTCACGCGGCATGCAGACATGTCTGAGCCAATTCGTGAAGCAGCCAAGGGCTTCGTTCTTCAGAGCAACCAGGAACCGCTGAAGTCGCTACATAGCCTTCGATCTTGGAGTGCCGTGAGTTGAATGCATTAATTCAATGCCTCAACATTGCAAATTTCATCTTTGAGGAATACGGTTTATATGATGCCTAACTTGTTGGACTGCAGAATGCTCCGCAATTTGATAACAATTGGGCCTGTCAATGCGCTCGAGACGCAAAGAAGGCAACCCGCTCCAAGCGACGGCCCTTCATCGGAACAAGCCCATGAGCCAACCTTCAACTCAACCTGAATACCATGTTGCATAAGCCGTGCAACTCAGATGTCGAACACTTGCCGGCAAAGTTGCTGCCCGGCTCCCCTTGCTGCAAGATGACTTCGCCTGGCTGCAGAACAGATCACTAATCTGGCAGCCAAGTCTGCAAGAGTCACATATCGCTGAGTCCATACCCAGAGTGCTCAACGTCCAAGTTTTGTGGTCACTCAACAAGACGCTTGATTACCGATATCGCGCCGGATACGCCACATGCCTGAAAGTATTTGAGACAGATAGGGCCGCGCGCGACCAGGTAAGCAAGCACACATATAAATACGACAGGGTAGAACTACCAGCCACGATGAACGTGGGAGCTTACAGCAGTTTGCTCGCAATGCTCCGCCTTTGGCGAAATGCATCTCCACCAATGCTCGGGCGAGCGCTCTCCTTGACTGCGGGTTCGGAACTCGACTTGACATGCCTATCCCTACGCCCTTCCTTACTCATTTTTATAACAAGCGAGCAACGTGCTTAATCCAAAACCATCGCATTCGTGGGCGTGCTTGCCTCGCTCACCCTATGCTTTTTCGGGAGGGGGGCGGCTGACAGATCTCATGCTTCAGAGTGGCAGCACTCTTGTAATTATCGTCACTCTTCAGGGATCTAGAACGTTAGGCCGGTGGTGGGAACCTCTCATCGCTCATAAGTGCCCATGATGATGCACAGAGGGATGAAGCTTCTTTTGCTGGCCACCGTGGCAGGTCTGGTGGTGATGGTAAGGATGTTGAAGATGAGGATCAGGATTAAGATGTGTCATAACCGTGACTGCTTTGCTGACTGTGTAATTGCTGCTTGTGAACACAGAGACCTTCTGCCCTTCATTCGAAATAACGAGTCCCGAGCGACCCCCCCCCCCGTGCAGAAAAGGATCTTCTCTTCTGATAGCAATGCCTCGAGGATGCTCACCCGATCGAGATACATCATGTACCTCACCGTCTCAGAGTTTAGGTTTAGGCTGTAGGACTTCAAGGCATCATGTACCTCAGCATCTTCACTTCACCATCCTCACCCTCTGCAAGTGCAGAGGCTCCCTGCAGCAGAATGCCTTGCAAAAACCTTGCGTGACACACCTGCAGCTGAAAAGTGATGGTTTTTCGTGCTGGTCGGGAAAAGCCTGGCAGTCTCACAACGCCATGTGTTCTGCGAAAAGCTTCGAGACAAAAACAACTCACCTTCCCCGCAAATCCCAATCATCATACCCAGTGGCTCGGAGATCTTGTCGTCAGATACTTTCATCAAGATGGTCTTGAAGCTGATTCCTGTGCAGTCTGCACTGCAGGGCTGTGGTCAACATTAAGGTCTTCTTCAAGCTTCGCGGAATCCGAATCTTCACTGCCGCATCTGGATCTGTTCTACAGGTTCTCAGCCCGTGGCGGTCGATCACCCACAGCGTACCAGGCGCCTGCGAAATGAGAGCTCGCCGAAAAACCACCGCGTGTTCTGAACCCGGGCAGACGCAACCGACCTGCAGCTAAGCTCCAGTCGTCAAGTCGGACCAGAAAGTCTTCAACCTCTCAACACCTATTGAAACCTACAAACCCGCATACTGGTCCTTTCATAAAAACCATTGCAACAATGCTGTAATTACCCTGTTAGAAACCCTGAAATAGCCCTTGTAATAATCCGATAATAACCTCGAAGGCTCTTCCAAATCGCTCTCTCTCTCTCTCTATCATCTCTATCTGTATATATATATATATATGTATGTACGTATGTACATATATGTAAACTATATATATATATATATAATTATATATTATAAGTAAGGGAGCGAGGGATACATATATATATATATATATATATGTACACATATTATACTATATTATATTATACTACACTATACTATATTATATTATATTATATTATCTTATATTAAATTATATTATTCTATATTATATTATATTATATTATATTATATTATATTATATTATATTATATTATATTATACTATACTATATTATATTATATTTTACTAT